TTTGCTACTACGATCGCCAATCCGTCTTCTAAGCGAGGTAATTTTTGCCAATCATTTCTTTGAAAGCACACGCACTGGTTCACACTCTTATTTTCAAGTTTTGAAGTACAAGTGACAAGAATATATGTCATAATCTTAAAAATATATGTCCTGGATAGCAGCCGAGTGGGTATTATAATGTGTGTTGAAAATGGGTATTATATGGGTATGATATTTTAGAGCAGCCACCCACAAGATGAAGTAATTAACCTGGTAAGAAATTTAAGAAGTCGATGGATGCAGGTATTTCAGGACCGTGCTTTGTGGCATTACTTGGGGGAGGCATATGTTCAGCTGTGGACTTGTGATTGGCTGTAAGGATGATGATGATTTTATAGATTATTATTATTATTATAAGAGAGTCTCATTTTCAAAAATGAAATGGCCGACAAAGACGAAGAATTACCAGTACAGAACTTTTATAATACAAAATACAAAAGACATTAAAAATAACGGCTTTCCTTCGCAAATAGATCTTGCGTTAGCAAATCATTGCATTAATTATACTAGTACATGAGTTATATCCAGCCGGCAAACATTGTGTGTGAGGAGACGTCAACAAATCGTTGTAAATGTCATTTGGATAGATGCATAAATAATTTAACGTTGCATCCAACCCATCGATAAATCAAACGAACATCACTACGGTACAGCGGCGACCCGGACCGACGAGCCGACGACCCACATTGACGCATTTATTTTCTATACTCGCTTAATTTATTGCCGTGTAACTCGAAACATGCTCGCTCACAAATCATACCAGCCTTACGCGTTTTCAGCGACGTTTTGTCACCTACTTGTTTAAAAGAAACAGTTTTAGCCCGATTTTGAGAGGACATAACAAATGTATACACGTGTATTTTTGTTATGTGTTGCTATTGTTAATTTAAAAATATCAGTACATAATCAAAAGAATTTATATCACTCACTGCTTATTTTTCGACTACATATTTTAAGTTGGTTAGTTATTATTCTTTTCCGTCATATTTTCGTGGTAGAGCCACGCTGCAGCTATATTATGGTTGTAGCATGAATGGGTGGGCTCGAGCGGGGTAGAACCATGCGCTCACAGAATACCAGCGTAAAATAGCAGCTGAAAACCGGAAGAAAACCGGAGACCCTTTTTAACGGATACCGCGTTCCATTTTACTTCTCAGGGGTGACAATAATATCATGCATATTGATTCTTAATCGAGGATAAATATAAAGACATTGTGTTAATGCGACAGTTTTTTCTTTTGAAATATATATATATATATATATATATATATATATATATATATATAAAATTGAAACTAATCAGTGTTAAATAATATATTAAATATATTTATAATATATTTAACACTGATTAGTTTAAATATTTTTTTACGTGGTAGAGCCATGCTGCAGTTAGATTAGTAGTATTATAAAGAGTAATAATAATTGTAGCACGAATGGGTCGGCTCGACCGGGGAAGGACCACGCTCTCACAGAATACCAGCGTGAAATGGTAGCTTGATGCTGCTGTATTTCGTATGGTGAGTGTAGAGAACCGGGTACCCATTTTACTGGAAACGAGGCATTCCATCTCAGTCCTCACGGGTGACAACGCATCTGCATTTTGATTTTTAATGGAGGATAGATGTAGATGTCTATGGGCCGCAGCAACTACTTACCATCAGGTGGACTGTGTGCTCGTTTATCACCCTATTCTATAAAAAAAAATATATTATGTGCTGAGTGCTAATGTGTTAAGTCATAATATATTCTTGATAAATCAGGCAAACACGAAAAATTTATGTTATTTAAATATAATAATTATCGTAACTTTCAACTAAGTTTCATAATTCAATAGTAAGCAATCTTAATTCAATAATTGCTTATAAACCTAAAGTAAAAAGACGTTTCCGCCCTGACTTTCATTGAAATCGACTTAAACCAATTAATCACTCTTATCGGGTTATTTCCTTGACTTTTTCCGCTGAGGGATCGATGGCTGGCCATTGAGCTGTTGTTGAGGAGAAAACGGGCCCATTGTGAGCTATTTTGGACTATTGTTCGCAGCAATTGTGTTATAAACTGATGTTCCCAGCGACCGCACGGAGTGAAGCTGACTATTACTCTTCGGAGACTAGCTGAATAAAAGTGAATTTAGTGTTGTTTGAACTAAATAAATTATTGACTATGTTATTAGTGACATAAGTAATCATATTATCTATAATACGCATCCAATTTATAAATTGAAAAAATAGACAGGGCGCGAAACGAGGTTGTCGCGACTGACAGAGTGTGAAGAAGGAATATTTCACCGTATCCAAGAACAATGAGTGTTTAATGAAAAATCTTTCATCCCGCGGGTGATGGAAAAAACTAGATAGAGTCTAGAATAAAAACTCAAAATCTGCAGTTGGTAAGCCACCTGGTATCCGTGGTAAATATGGCAATTTTTTCTGTTCTTGTATATTAAAGTAAAGTTACAGCCTATATACGTCTCACTGCTGGGCGCAGCCCTCCTCTCATTTCTGAGAGGGTTTTAGGGCAAGGAAGTGTCCGCCGTGCTGCCCCAATGCATGTTGGCGAACTTCACATGTCTTCGAAATACTTTTTTTTTCCTTAGACATGCAGGTTTCCTCACGATGTTTTCCTTCACCGGCGAGTAGGTGGTAAATCAGCACTTAAAATTGCAATTAACAATTTAATTGGTGCCGGCGGCGATTGAACTCAAGTTACTCACGTTCTGTTATATTTACAGTGAATGTTAATCATCTGAGCTACCACGGCTCTGTTCTCGTATGGCTGTCTAATTTTAATTTTTATCCATCCATTTCCATATTCCATATTTCCATAGTACCTAAGCAATTATTATCTTTTCATGTCCTCTAAAACCAATTTGGATAGTCTTTTTAGATCTTCTGCCACTAGCAAGGTACGACCATGTGAAATCTAAAACGCTAAACTTCTTTTATTTACAAATTCGTACATAATGATGTTATTTATTTACGTAGCAAAACTACACTGCAGCTATATTAAGGCTGCAGCACGAATGAGTCAGCTCAACCAGAGAAGGGGAACTCCCTCAGTATACCAGCGTAAAATAACACCATATTAGTGCTGCTTTTTGTATGCTGATAGAACCTGGGGCCTTTTTACTAGAAACAAGGCATTCCATCTTAGTCTGCACACAGTCCACCTGAAGGTAAGTGGGTGCTGTGATCCATAAACACCTACATCTATCCTCAATTAAATATCAAAATGCAGATGCGTCATCATTCCTGAGGACTGAGGTGGAATGCCTCATTTCCCGTAAAAAGGGTATCCGGTTCATTCATTCATTATACGAAACACAGCAGCATTGCGCTGCTATTTCACGCTGGTATTCTGTAAGAAGGTGGTTCTGCCCTGGTCGAGCCGAGCCATTCGTGCTACAGCCGTAATAAAGCTGCAGCGTGGCTCTACCACGTGTTTATCAGCTTTTACTTTAAAAAAATACAAACGTAATAAGAGATAAATATGTACAAACTTATCCATATTTTTTATAAACGGATGACAAACGAACACACAGTACATCTGATGGTTAAAGGATAATGTGCATAAATATCTACATCTATCCTCAGGTAGCCACTATATTGCAACGTGACTCTACCACATAAAGACAAAATATTATCATAATTTCTCAAAACTAAAGGTATATGAATTATCACATCTTGTTGAACATGATAGTTAAAGAGTACAATGACACAGACCTACCCTACAGTGTTAATATAAATAAATAGTGAAGTCGTTTAAATACGTACATACAATTTAAATATAATAAAAGAAATAATAAACCAGCTAAAGAAAAATAAAACTTAAAAAAGATGCTTAAAAGGGTGTGTTATCTCAGTATAACAGTTTTAACTCTCTCTATAACAGTTTTAATACGTCAAAAAAAAATGATGAATGAAAAATCTCAGTTTCAAATTCACGAATTTGTCTTCCTCACAAAACTCGATTTCTACAACATATATGTACTTAGTTTTACGCCGTATTGTGATTTATTCATAAACATCAGTTCACAATACCTTATTAATAATTTTTTATTCTATCTACATAAAATTCTAGTTAACTTCCTTATCAAATTTAGTGGATGTCTCTACCTAGACTCTACTAACGCCGTAAATGCATTTAGGATATTATTAAAACAACGTTCTTAATTTTTAATACCCCGACGTTATAATTTGCAAGAAAATGTCACTCTTTAACTCCACAAGTAGCTGGAATTATCCCCACCCCCTACTTAGTAACATCGCTCAGTGAGCCCCTGCAAGGAAACAACGAAACAGGAATTTGCATACATTAACTGAGGCACCTTTCGTCACTGAACAAAGTGTGCTAACGAGAACTTAAGCCGCTCACGCGATCTGTTTAGACGTAATTTTACGCGCTTTTATAATCTTTATTTAAAAAAAAAAAACATTCAAATTTTCTTCTTCTTTATCTGCTATTCCGTAAAATACTTTTTTTACGTGGTAGAGCCATACTGCAGTTATTTTTAGTTGTAGCACGAATGGGTCGGCTTGACCGGGGAAGGACCACGCTCTCGCAGAATACCTGCGTAAAATAGCAGCTTAACCCTGCAGTGGTCGCGTGGATTACAATGGTAATCCACTGTAATAAAATATAAAATTAAAGAAAAGTCTTTTGCGTGATTATTTCGGCGCGCCATGTACTTGTAGTTGAATAACCAAAGTACGCGTTTAGTGAAGCGCGAGCGCCGGACGCGTCTGGTTGTGTCACAAGAGATCCGTGAAGTACTCTGGATTACTATTGTAATCCACGCGACCTATTACGTGAGTATTTTGTGCAATTATATTTTGATGTTTTTATTTATTTTAACTATTATTTTGCAATAATTAACTTTAGTACATAACGGTTATTTGTTTATTTATGTACAGCTTTTATATTGATAACGTTTTTTTGTAATTTATCCCAACAGAACAATCATGGATGAAAGGCGTATCGCTCAAATCGAATCTTGGCTTGACGAAGATTATAGCAGTGATGATTTGGAAGATGACGCAAGCTCAAACGATGAAGAAGATTTTCTGGAAGTGCAGGATCACCAATCTGAATCTGAACAAGAAGAAGAAACTCCAAATGAGGTATCTACCGTAACCGTTTCTGAACTAGGACAAGATGATTCCTCACAAGTTGGCTGCGAGGAGTATTACATTGGTGTGGATAATACTCGCTGGAGTAAGACTGCGCCATCGAATAGAGGAAGAACTCGCAGTCACAACATTGTTTTTGTACCTCCAGGACCAAAAGGAATCGCCCGGGAGAAAGGTGCTGCTGAGGATTGTATATCTCTTTTCTTAGATGACGTTGTAATTGATCTGATAGTAAAATATACTAACATAAAGATCGAGCACATTAAACAAAAATATGCCAGAGAACGTGATGCCAAATTGACGGATTCTACTGAAGTAAAGGCATTTCTCGGTATTATTTATTTAGCAGGTGTATTGAAATTGGGCCGAAGCAGCTGTGAACAAATATTTGAACACAGGAATCACACTGGAATCGATGCCATTTATTTAACGATGTCTGTCCAACGTTTTAAATTTCTTCTAAGAAATCTACGATTTGATGATATTAATGATCGCAAAGATCGTGTTATTATTGATAAATTAGCTGCAATACGTGAAGTTTTTGAGATGTTAATCATCAAATTTCAACAACATTTCATTCCAAGTGCAGAAATGACATTGGACGAGCAGCTTGTGGCCTTTAGGGGACGTTGCCCTTTTAGGCAGTACATACCTAGCAAACCCTCAAAGTATGGGATTAAGATATTTGCCCTTGTCGACGTTCACTACCCATACACATACAATTTAGAGATTTACGCCGGCAAGCAGCCCGTGGGACCTTTTCATGTGAGCAATGAACGGGCCGACGTAGTGATGCGAGTAGTTCAACCTATCCTTGGGAAAAACCGCAATGTTACCATGGATAATTGGTTTTCGTCGCTAAACGTTGCAAAGCAACTTTTCGAGAACAAAACTACAATGGTCGGCACTGTAAGAAAAGATAAAAGAGAAGTTCCTAAGGTGTTTCGTTGAGGAAATTCTGTTTATTCCTCAAAATTTGGTTTTCACACACCCTGCACGTTGGTATCTTATATACCAAAGTCCAACAAAGTAGTAATCGTCATGTCTACAATGCATAACGATGCGACGATCGATAACAGTACAGGAGATCACAAAAAACCCGAAATGATCACGTACTACAATCGTACAAAGAATGGTGTTGATTTGGTAGACAAAATGTCCTCGTTATACGACGTATCTAGAAATTCAAGACGATGGCCTCTAACAGTTTTTTTTTCGATTTACTCAATTTGAGTGCTTTGAATGCTTTATGCATATACACTGCCAACAAAAATTTTGCAAAGGTAGTACGACGTGATTTTCTTATTTCCATGGCATTGGCATGGATGAAACCATCAGCTCACAGAAGATTGGAACGAAAGACATTACCACGAAGTCTGGTGTTCAAAATAAAAGATTTTCTGGAAGTTCCCCAAGCTGAAAATCAGCCAAGTACCTCGGCATTATCGTCAACTAGCAGACTGGGTCGCTGCTATGACTGCAGAAGATCGCGCAATAAGAGCACTCGTCGATTATGCACAGCATGTAATAAATTCGTTTGTCCGGATCATTCCAAATACATATGTTCCTCTTGTTTAAAAAACAATGATTAGATTAGCGATAATTACTTAAGATGATTTATGATCTCATTAAGAAATCAATGTGCCATTTTTGCTTACAAATTAATAAAAGTTTTTTTTTAAAGTTAAGTTATAAATAAAATAAAAGATATATTTTTTTTATTTCATTCCGTATGGTACATATTTCTAGTTTTATTACATTCAAAGTGAAATAAATACATTTTGATTCTTAATTTGCAGTTTTTTATTTGGATTACAATTGTACTCCACGCGACCGCTTACGTCAGTTTTTAGGGCGCGACCCATGCAGGGTTAATGCTGTGGCAATGAGGCATTCCATCTTAATCCTCACGGGTACCAACGCATCTGCATTCTGATTCGTAATTGAGGATAGATGTAGATGTCTATGGGCCACCACAGCAAACACCATCAGGTGGACTGTGTGCTCGTTTGTCACCCTATCCTATAAAAAAAACACCACTGGATATAAGTCTCTTCCATTTAACAAATAAATTGCCAAAATTACTATACTTGAAGGGCAGTTAACTGCCGCAGCAACACGTTTATCTTGCTTTTAACGTTGTTCCCTATTGCCGATCAGGGTATTTTACATCCGGCATCTATAATATAATAGATGTACCGCCATGTATCGGAGGTCATGTGATTTTCTGGCATACCTCGTAGTCGCATCTTATGCCATCCAAAGAGATGAAGTGTGCTGGACTTGTTAACTACACCAACACTCCAAAAAATTACATTAAAATAATCATAGCGAAAGTACCTATGAAGATTTTGGAAACAAGACATTTTAGAAATAGGAGTTCACTACTTATTCTAATTTGATTTACACGTTTTACGTGGTAGAGCCATGCTGTAGCTATATTACGGCTGCAGCACATATGGGTCGGCTCGAACGGGTAAGGACTATGCTCTCACAGAATACCAGCGTAAAATAACAGCTTAACGCTGCTGTGTTGCGTATGATGAATGTAGAGAACATGAGACCCTTTTTGCTGGAAACAAGGCATTCCATCTTAGTCCACACGGGTGACAAAGCATCTGCATTTTGATTCGTAATCGAGAATAGATGTAGATATCTATGGGCCACAGCAAGCACTTACCAATCAGGTGGACTATGTGCTCGTTTGTCACCCTATCCTATAAAAAAACTCTGCATTGTATTATGGCTGCTGCACGAATAGGTCGGTTCCAACGGAAAAAAACAACGCCTATAGGGAATACCAAAGTGGAATAGTAGCATGATGATGCTCTGCTTCCTAAGGACCATTTTTAATCATAACTAGGTTTCCCTTCTCAGCTTCCATGGGGAATAAAGCATCTGCATTTTGATTCGAAACATATTTTATACGTGGTAGAGCCGTGCTGCAGTTATATTAGTAGTATAGTTGTAGCACAAATGGGCTTGCTCGACCGGGGAAGGACCACGCTCTTACAGAATACCAACGTCAAATAGTAGCTTAATGCTGCTGTGTTTCGTGTGATGAGTGTAGAGAGCCGGAAAACCTTTTTACTGGAAACGAGATATTCCATCCTAGTCCTCACTGGTGACAACGCATCTGCATTTTGATTAGTAATCGAGGATAGATGTAGATGTCTATGGGCTACAGCAACCACTTACTGGTGGATTGTGTGCTAGTTTGTCACCCTATCCTATAAAGAAAGAAAAAAATAAACGAGATGTAGATATTAATGGGTAGCATTTTTCCATACCACCAGGAGGATTGTGTGCTTGTTTGTTACCCTTACTTTCATAAGAAATACTGTAAAACTTCATGCCAGATCTATAACATGATCGACCACTGTTTAATCTTCCAGAAATAATAATTGTATGGTAATAATTGTATATTCAAAGCTTTTACTATCACTAATATTCCAGGAAATTAAATGTTGTCATCGTGATATTCAATCGTAAATGCACATGAGTAATTGCTCATGTGGCAAAGGTATTAAAATAAGACTAATTTTGTTTTGTTGTGGAGCCATGCTACAGCTATTTTATGGTTATAACACGATTGGGTCGGCTCGACCGGGGAAGGACCACGGTCTCACAGAATACCGGCGCAAAATAGCAGTTTAATGCTGCTGTGTTTTGTATCGTGAGTATAGAGAACTGGAGACCCTTTTCACTGGGTACGAGGCATTCCATCTTAGTCCTGCATATGATTCTTAATCGAGGATAAATGTAGATGTCTATCGGTAACAGTATTCATTTACCATTATGTGGACTACGTGCTCGTTTGTCCCCTTATTCTATAACAAATAATATTGTATATTTTAGCACAAACGCAACATCGTAAATTAAAAAAAAAACTATTTTATTTAGATAAAGTAATTTAGCAAACAATGGCAACACCTGACGCTTAACGGATTCTATAAAATCCGACATAGCCTGGTAAATAGCAAATGATGGTATGCAAAACAGCTCCAACAGCCAAGTTTGATACTTATTTGAATTTTGTTTACTCTCCCGCTGACGAATTATGCAAGCTTTAAGTACATCGCTGCTCTGATTATAATAAAACGATATATTTTGAAAATCATTCTACAGCATTTTCTATATTTTTTCTAAGAAACCATGATATATAATTAAAATTATACATAAAAAAACTGACTCTGTCAATGTAGCATGTTTTGTATTATTTGCATGTTAATTTAAGTTATTTTGAAACAATTTTTACTTTATCTATTAATAGTTCATAGGAATTATACTAATTATACACCATAATTACCATCTTAGCTCATCACCAGTGACACAAGTAAATATTAAGCTTTAAAGATTGTCACACCAGTCCTGAGCAGCTTGCATCCTTGAATATTATCATAACTTTTATTATCAACAATAGTTCAATGGTTATGAATATACGAGTACATAGAATCAAATTTTGAGGAAGAAAATTGACAGGTCTTTTTAAAGCTCCCACTCAAATTGCCTCATTCGCGAGACAGCTGCCTATACAGCCCCTCTTCGCACTCGCTCTAGTATCCGCAGGCCGAGAAACTCTCTCACTCTCGGACCCCCAACAAGTTTTTGGCTGACCTGAACTGCCGCCTGGCGGCTCAGGCCGAGCCTATTTCACTCATCTCATAATCTGACTTAGTTAGGCACACTTCTAAGCCGCTTCTCGTCGCTTACGCCCTCCTTTCAGCCAAGGAGGGTCGCGTCAGTTTACGGCTTAAAGATCTCTCGCTAGATCATTAAGCCAATCCTAAAAGGTGGTGTTTAATGGGTAAAAGTCTCCACATAACCACGCAGCCGGCTGCGTGGTATGCTACGAGCATTCACTACCTCCCTCCCCCATTACCGGAGGGTTGCCCTTATTTGCTTCGGGCGCAAAAAAAGTCTTTCTAAAATATGTGTGTGTGCGTGCGTGCGTGCGAGCGTGCGTGCGTGCGTGCAAGCGTGCGTGCGTGCGTGCGTGCGTGCGTGCGTGCGTGCGTGAGTGCGTGCGCGTGCATGCGTGCGTGCGTGCGTGCGTGCGTGCGCGGTGCGTGCGTGCGTGCGTGCGTGCGTGCGTGCGTGTGTGTGTGTGTCACGTTATTTTCCTTACATTTCCCTTAATTTGTATGATTATACCTCAAAGATAAAACTCTAAAGTATGTATCGTTTTATTGAAAAAAATTACCTCTAAACCTAAATTTGATCAGTGCAAAAACATAACGTAAAAATACGTTATTTCGCGTCTGCAACCTTTATAATAAGAGTACAAAAAGTTATTAAAAAATAAGGCCAAAAGCATTACAAGAGTAACCTTAAAGAGATGAGGTTGAATTATTGGATAAAGTCTTACTTTTGTCTTGTGTTACACAACAAAAACAAAAAACTATTAAATCTATAATCGCTGGTCACCGACCATGAAACAATATTTAAAATGCAATGTAGTTTTCAAAGAATGAAATCGTTAAAATACGAAATACGTGCTTAATATCCATCCATTAAGACTATAAAAGTCCACTGCGGTACATAGGTCTTTCCCATAGATTGCCTCATAGGAAGGGTTTGCCATAGTTACCACGCTTGGCCGACGGAATGGCAACCGCAGTATTTTTATTATTTTAAGTGGTTATCAGAAAGATGCTGCTGCCTATTTTAATTTTTAATTTTCCCTATGTCGCCTTTTACGACATCGACAGTCTACGACCGCCACCACATAGTACAACTCATGCATGACAATATTTCTCAAACTACTTTTTTCACCGATATCATAAACTATGCAATGATGGACATAGTTTATGATATGTACTGCAACAAACATAATATTACATTACTATTATTCGCTGTAATGAAGATACTTTCAAGCAGATGAGCATATTATACGTCTAAAACGTTTATCCTGTTCCTCGTAGCCGTTATGAGTTCTTACATCTGGTATATACGTAATGGTTAAACTGTCATCTACGAGGTGTGTTCAGAAAATAACGGGAATATTAGTTTTTTGAAAAAAAAATATTCGTCTACATTAATGTTGTTGTCTTCAAAGTTCCCATTTGTTATTGTGAACTTGTGCCAGCGCTTCCAAATCCTCGAAACACTTCTCAAACTCAATCTTTGGGATAGGCTTTAGCTCTTTCAGCGATGCGCTTTTAATGTCATATATACTTTAAAACAACGACCCTTTAAGGTTATCTTTATTTTTGGAAATAGGAAAAAGTCATACAGAGCCATGTCTGACGAATATGGAGGATGGAGCATCATTACAGTATTGTATTGACTAAAAACTGACGAGCAAGCAATGAAGTATGAGCAGGTGCATTATCATGGTGCAAAAACCATAAATTCGTGACTTGTATGTGCATCTGTGGTCGTGGGGGTTTTATGGCAACCTTATTTTATTCGTGGTAAAATTTCCATGACTATCCGCCTGCCGGGTAGGTTTTTTCGGAGTTAATAAAAACCGTCCGGTGAGGTTATATGGCAAAATTACCATATTAACAAACCCCTAATATCCTTATCAGATAAAACCTTTTTTGGATATTTAATATTTTTAAAGAATTAATAAAATTTTATCACGGGTATTTGAAATAATATGGTACAACGTAAAATAGTAAATTATTATATAGAATCGGCGTACTACACATATTTAGAATAAGTTTTCATAACAAAAATGTTAAACAATGTACATATAAAAAATTAAACTTTAAAGCAGCTTCTGGTTGACACGTCGTTTGTTTTACCTTTCCTTTCGAAATCTATCCAACGATGTGAATTAAAAACTTTACGCTACGATAATTTTTCAATTACCTCGTTTTAGTGAATAACCATTGTGTAGCAATTCGATCAGCTTGAATTGGTAAAGTCACGCACTATTATGTCAATAAAAAATAACTTATTTCAGAACACATAAAAGTATTAAAAATTTTCATCTATTATCATCATTATTCTTTCAACATCAATTTCAGTGAATTATAAAACATAACATGTACATAAAACGTCAGGGGGGCTCAACCATATTTGTAAAAATTAATTTTAAAATATCTGACACTGGATATAAACAATAAAAAATTAATTATGCACAATTGGCTTTAAAGCACACAATACGCTTCAAAACAAATGACGCAAAGCGAATAATATTGAACTCGAAATTCGAGCAAATCAAATCTGACGTGACAAATCGTAAAATTATCTACAGGGATTAATTTAATGAGATCAGTCTTACCCCACCGCTGAACCACACAGCCATGGGAAAAGTAAACACAGGGGAAACCGGGACGTTATACTTGTACTAATCCTCAAATTAGTTGACAAATAGTCTGCAGATAAAAAACATCCCATTCATATTATGAGCGTTTCAGAATGGCCTGTTGCGAAACACTAAATAAGAAAATCCTATAAAGGTGAACTTTATCGGCATTTATTTCAGCTTCATAATTCAAATCATATAAATAAAAAATTCTTTCTATTTTGCTATTACATATCTAACCTTTATATAATAAAATTTAAAAGGTACTAAAAAATACCATAATGGTAACTCCGCTAGCCAAGATGTGAAAATGGAATAAAAAACTGTCCAAGAAACATCAAGATCATTCACGTACTTCATCACAGACCAAAATAAATAAAGTTGCCGGACCTCCATTCGTAACCTCAGCCCAATCGCCGATTCAGCACGCGGCACTGCCATAAAATTAAATAAATCCGTTATTTTTCAGGCTGAGCAACACGCGGCCCGACGGTCAATCGGGCAATACCGGCAACACACGATAACGGCCCACATTTGTAAAGATTTTACCGACCCAACCGCCCAAGTCTATTCGGTTGTTTTGTGGACATACGTTTATATAGTACAACAAAAGTTACAGACTTGTCAACTGACGTATAATTGTAATAATTGATGGAAATGAGAGTTTCGATGCAATTTTAAACGGAGCTACGTTTTTTTCTTCAATAGGTATATAAGTAAGGGCGGAGGGGTGCAAAACAATTAGTTTCTTCAAGATGTGTAATGCATAGTGTCTTTTTATTTTATTATTTTTGAAGTTATTAATGTGATGGCACTAAAGATATACTTCATAAAATTGTTATTTATTAGTTGTTTTCAGAACGAATTCAGTGTGAAATCATATATAATGCGAATGGATACTCAAAAAATAAATAGTGCGTATTTCTATCAAAGAAAAGAAATATTTCAGTATCAAAGATAATGAGTAAATAATAAAAAAGAATATTTTATAGGAATGAGGGTAGAACGCAAACCGCTACTGGTTAGAATAGTATAAAGTTCATCTCAGACGGTTTGGTGATTCTTTCAAAGCCCTTCAATTTCAACCGGCATTTATCTTGTAAATAGTAGCAGTGATACTCTGGTGCTTCCTCTCAGATGGTGAAATTGCTAAATCTGTTAAGCGTTGCGGACTCATGAGTTGCCGCTGATCTGAAAGTAATTCAAGAGAAAGTAAGACCATTTTTTTCTTTTTTTTTTTTAAATACTAGCAATGATGCAAAATACATTATTAATATTCCCTTTAACCACTACCTACTAAATTTTACTATTATAACCACACTGAATTTTACTAGATAGTTCATAAAAAAATTATTAAGCGACTAGTCGAATGGCGGATTCGAACCCGTGACCATTTGGGTTTGCGGTGCCCATCCTGGACTCTCTAGTAAAATCTATCTTAACCATTGTTTCAAAATTTATTTCCATATTGGCAAGTAAACAGGTGATTAATTTTAAAGTCAGCTAAGAAAAATACTTAAAAGTCAAAATTATTTGATTCGAATACCCCCAATATATGGCAGTATAGATCTCCGCCTGAAAGATTTCCATCCACGATGTTGCTACAAAATATTTTATAGCTTCCAAAATTTCTTTACATAATTTTAAGTAAACTCACTGTCTTACTTATAATGTATTCAATGATTTTTTATCGTTGATCATTCTATATCTTCCTAATACATTACCGGACGCGCTACCGAGGATAATCTGCGAATAAATGAAAATTGATTTTAAGATTGCGCCGCCCCAGCGTCGGCGGCTCGTTGACAAATAACACGGCTTTGCTCCTTCGGCCTACGCATTAACTCTACTCCGACTAGCTTTCTTGTTGGTATTACAATGTAATAACACATTTTCTTCCACATTAACTAAAATCGATCATATAATATAAGTTTTATAAAACTACAATAAGTATAATAATAGATAAGTTTTATTCAAGCTTTTAATAACACATTAAATATAGATAAACATATAATAAGTAACGAGTCAGGCACTATATTCGTTATGAATTTGTAGTGTCAAACTTTTTGGAGAAACAAAGTTTTTATAGCGTCCAGCATAAAAAGGCTCAAAGGGTTATTTAATCATAATGCCATCAGAAATGTTAAAAAAATAAATAAAAAATGTTAGACAACGAATACAGGGAGGGGGCGTCAATTAAGCAGGGGTGGTTACACGGCGGCTCGCTCCACGTGACGTCACTCATCTGCATCACAACCACCGCTGATGCAAATTTAAATACAGTTTAATCTCTATTTTTTTGTTCAGCGTATTTTTTCCATTTCTCGCGTCAGATGGTCCGCGTTGATTTTTATCTACATCACATATATGTATATATATATATAATTATAATACCTTTAAAACATAATACAAGTTATAACTGAATTGAATTCTAACTAACTCACTATTTACTATAACGGTTTTTGTTGTACTTGCTTAATTTTTTATAACATTAGTGTGACAGGCACTTAACATTGCACACAGTCCACCTGATGGTAAATAGATGCTGCGGCGCGTAGACATCTCGGATATCTCGGATCTCATTTATGGACTGAGGATATCGTTTGGGCTTTAATTTGTTTGTTTTGTGATTTAGGTGTTAGATTCTGTGACGTCATATCATTATTGGCTTAATTTTAGCCACAATCTCTAATTTTTACAATATTTTAAGATGTACCGCAAAATAAAACAAAAAATTTTTTTTCGAAAAATTAGGCCCTTCAGCGATAAAATAGTAATAACTTTTTGTTTCATTATTTTATTAATTGTAAACGTAGTACTTTTTTTAACACCACAGTATCTTGAAGTTGTATGAAAAATCTTGTCTCATAGGAATTTGCAAATTTAATTTTTTTTTCTAAAGAAACTGTTCATGTTGTTGGGAAACTGCAATAAACATGCAAGGTTTTTGCTATTTCAATAGAATGGCATAAATTATACGTATTAAGGTGATAAATTTTACATACATTTTAAATACATATAATCATCAACATCAATAAACCTTGAGAACTGTAACAGTATTATGGTGAGTGGATAAAGTGGCCCATAAACGTCTACATTTATCCTCGATTAAGAATCAAAACGCTGGTGCATTGTCACCCCTGAGGACTAAGACGGAATGCCTCGTAACCAATAAAAAAGGGTCTCCAGATCTCTACACTCACCATACGAAATACAGCATTAAGCTGCTGTTTTACGCTGGTATTCTGTGAGAGCGTGGTCCTTCCCCGGTCGAGCCGACCCATTCGTGCTACAATTATAATATAGCTGCAGCGTGGTTCTACCACGTATAAATACTCTGTTCTCATACGGCACGATCTCATCTCTCGCTACATTTCGTTTGAACTACTATTAACAGTACAACCTGTATAACACCCCTCTTTTTCGTTGGGGGTAACATATGGGTCTCCGGTACTTCTCATTATACGAAATATGCTGCTATTTTACACTGGCGCTCTTTAAGAGCGTGGTAGTTCTTCGGTCGAGCCGACCAATTCGTGCTGTAACAATAACATAGCCGCAGCTTGACTCTACCAAGTAAACTTCTCCAATATAATAGTAATGTTTAGGCAAAAGAGTTTTTTTTATCTACGGAGTTTCGGATTCTGGTGTATTTGGATATTAGAGTCCCCCTTTGTTCAAAGCCGCTGTTATGAAATTGTAATCATATATTATTTTATATTGTTAGTTTACTTCTGAATGTCGCATTATCACGTAAACTTGCTAGTGGAGGTATATTGTATATATATACTCTACATTTTAGCCTAATAGTCCACCTGGGTAGGTCTGAACCTCTTACCTACTTCTCCCATCAAATAGCAGTGCGTACACTGCTACGTTCTAGTTTGAAAAGAGAATCAGACTAATTATTATTAGGGATGTTCCGATAGCATCAAAACATCGATACTTATATGAGTAGTACCCAAAACGTTTTACGATACTACTCATTTAAGTACTCCAAAAGTATCGGTACTTACTAATATTGATACTTTTTTC